GGAGCACACGGCACGAAGAGGAGAAGCAGGCGGCTTTAACAACAAAGCTTGAGCGGTACAGTCAACCATGATAGTAAGGAAGGGGCACCTTTCCACGGCTACTCTTGCATCCTTGCGCCTTCGGTATTCGGCATCCTTCGGCATTCTGCTGCGCTCTGCACGGAAAACGTCAACATGGCGTTCCAAGGTTCTTGCATCCTTACCGCGCATCCTTACTATCCGGGTCGCGTATACCGTAATGAGCGAATTTCCAGCGAGGCCTTCGTCAGCATCCCACACGGCATACTCCTGGGCAGGCATCTATGTTCGCCCCCGCCCTCCTGGACAGGCTGGCCTGATGCAGCGAGGAAATTGGCCGCGTTGGTCACGATATAATGTTCCAGCTGAACGCTTGTCCATGTTTAGCCCGAGTTCGGTCATTAGGCTGTTTGAAACATCGGAAATAAGAAGCCTCACCCTCTTCGCTTGAAAGGGGCAACCTCGCGCGGGAGGATGCGACAGGCCCTGGAGGAGTTCGGATGGCACCGATTCCCCAGAGTCGGTGTCGGCCTGTCGCTATGTTCATTTCGGGAGTCCTGGGGCGGACAGCGAGTGGCTTTGCACGCTAGTCGGGAGGTCTGTGCGCGTGTGCTTCTGAGTTGGAGATCGATTACATAATTGACTTACCCCACATTGATTTTCAGCCGGCCCTACGAAAAGCAAGAGATCCGTGTAATGGTCCGTATATTTACAGGATATGTTATCTATAGGTTGTAGAGTCTACAAACACAAACCATTGTTGGGGTAACTCATTTCTGTAGTTGATCTATCACTCGCAGAGTGTGTATATGTGTGTCGTGTTCGCTTCTGGGGCGATGTTGGATGCAGAGGTTGGGCTAGTCTTCCATTACGAGGTGGAGAGGTCGCGATTTTCGAGGACACAGTTTGCTTGATTGCACTTTCCATTTGCCTTCCTTTCTTAGCAATCCCCCGACTAAATTACGTAGATCGCTGGGCTATTCTTGGGATCTCCAATGCGCACAAGGAAGATTGGCGTGGTACAGACAAGGGACAGCTTCTTGGAAAGTCATTAAGTAATCCATCGGTGTGATATCATTTTTTGAGAAGTCGGGCCGCCTTGAAGGGAGTCAGCTAGCACTCCCGATAAGATCGAACAACACATGCAGGACGCCATGACGAATTCAGACCACATGCGTGCTCGCATCCTGCAGTCCTACACGAAATCGAGTTAGTGGTGCGGTGCGACTTCAAGTCAGTTCCACATTGCATGGTTGATTAGTTCACCTTGTATGCCAGAGGATCGCAGCGTCATGCAACGTGACCTTCTTCGTAATGTGTTGTTGCCTTCTTGCGCTGTATACTAGATCATGCCACGGTATGTTTGCTTGTGTTACATCAACAGTGGTGCATGCATGCCGTACGCGTGATTCACATCGGAGATGTATACGGTATATGGTAGTCCCATGTGCTGAATTGATTGCTCGACGTCGCTCGTTGCAATCGTGGAAATTCAGACGTGGCCAAGCGTTGAGCCACATGACGGTTGAGTTGTTGGATTGTGTGTTCTCCCAGCTGTTGCGGACATAATTGGGGTACCATCGGATACCAGTGTTCTACTCAGACCTCGGAGGCTCTTCGCGCCGCCTCGAAGGTTGTTTTTGGCGGTTTCGTCGGGGCCGTCACGGGTTTGTACAGGGCTTTTTTGGAAGCGAGATTCGTGGAGCGCCAAGTGCTGTGTTTCCCTCTCACGCGAATCCATTTGAATCCGCACGCGCGTTGGCCATTTCGGGGCGAACACACGTCGAAACGTCATTCGATCTTCCTCATCCCCTGCAGGAGGGGGTGTGCAATGCGGGGCCGCGGCGTGTTTGGGGGGCCGCCCAGGCAAGGGGCGGGGGGTCCGCGGGGGCTGGCCATGGAGTGCGCAGAATGGGATGGCTGGAGAAGAACTGGCGTCTTTGGCAGGCTCCGATGCGGTTCTGATCCAGCTGAGCGCGCGCCGCAGTCCCCGCGTGCCGGAGAGGTCTGAGGGGGCCGGGGGAGCCGAGGGGCCAATCGCCGTGAGGCTCGGTGGATCATCGCCTGTGGCGGGCCGCGCTTCTGGTCGAAGATCGACTGCTCTCCGTGTCGTGGGGTGCACGTCTGTCGGAGGGACGCCAACCATACACCACCACCAGCCCTGGCCAGGTCCATCCTGGGCCCTCGACTGGTGTACCTCCAGGCTGGGCCAGGAGGGCCTGTACACGTGGTGGTGTATTGTTAGGAGCTCTCCTAGTCTGGAGCGCGCAAGGCGTTTACGCACTACGACCACACGAAACAACAGGGGGTGGTGCTGACTCGGCCCTTCCTGGACACACCAGCGGCGGTCTCTGGGGACCGTTGTGGGGCCCTCTTGGGCAGTCTTGCGGCCCTCCTGGGCCGTCGTGGGGACGTCTTCGGGCATCTTATGGGACTCTCCTGGGGCCCTCGCGGGCCGTTTCGGGCTGCTCTTGGGGGGCACCGTGGGCCGCTCCGCGGGTTCTTCTCTTCTTGCGTTCCCATCACGAACTGCATTTGCCCAGGGCAAGGCGCAAAGGTGAAACTAGGCCCACGACCGGCTCGTAGTAGTCCTCCCCTTGCTCTCCTCGCCTTGCGTCTGCGGCTCCCCGCCACTGCGGTTCAGGTCGCGCGCGCCGGCCCGGGAGCCCAGGATGGCACACGACCCCTGCGTGCCAGAATGGCGCGCAGAGAGCCCGTCCAGCGAGTGCCCCTACGGCTGGGTGTTCCCCGCGCCTTTCTGCCCGTTCACCGTGCCCGACGAGCTCACGGTGGGGCTGCTGCTGGCGTGCACCTACAGCCTCCTGCCCTTGGTCGTGGTGGTGGGCATCGCTGCCTTGGCGGTGCTGCGGCGTGAGGCGAGTCGGAGGAGGAAGCGAGGTACCGACACCGCAGCCCGTCCTGGAGAGCGGGCGGGCGGCCACGGGAGGGCAGATAAGCGTGAGGGGATCGGGGATTGCAGGGAAGTTGCCCCCAGTGGGGCCCGACACAGTGATCCCGAACCGCCGCCGCGGGCCCCAACAGGCGCACGGCAGGGGAGCGCTGCTTCGCCCCCCGTTTAACTGCCACCCCGCGAAGGAGCACCCGAGGACGGCCCTCGTTGCCACGGATGGATTCTCTCCGGGGCTCTGGGCCAGCACGCCCGGAGGGGGAGAGCGGCATCGGGGAGGTCTTAGGAGTGGCGGCATCGGTACTTATCTGCCCCCGCAGTGAGGGGAGATGTGGCGGCACGCGAGGGGAGTATCGGCGGCGAGCGAGGGGGGGTTAATGAGAGGGAGAAGGCTTTCTCGGAAGGCGGCGGGCCTTCTGGCCTTCTCAGAGGCCCTCGCGCCTCTTGAGCAGTCTTCCGCGCCTTCGGGAAGGGCTCGGAGCCTGCTCCGGAGGCTCCGAGAAGGCCGGGGGAGGAGGAGAAGGAGGAGGAGGAGGAGGAGCAGCAGGAGGAGGAGGAGGAGGAGCGAGCGTCCCTAAGGAGGAGGAGGAGGAGGAGGAGGAGCGAGGAGGAGGAGGATGGAGGAGGAGGGGAGGGGGAGGCGGAGGAGGCGGAGGAGGAGGAGGATGCGGCGGAGGAGGAGGAGCGAGCTTCCCTAAGGAGGAGGAGGAGGAGGAGGAGGCGGAGGAGGAGGAGGAGGCGGAGGAGGAGGAGCGAGCGTCCCTCAGGAGGAGGAGGAGGAGGAGCAGGAGGAGGAGGAGGAGGCTCCCGAAGGCCCTCCGAGGAGGCCCGCCCCGTCGCCGCCCCCCCCCGCGGGGCTCGCCGCCGAGGGCAGCCGGCGGGAGCCGCGGGGGGCCGCGCTCGAGGAGTGGCGAAGCGTCCCGGCTCGCCCATAGCCCCACGAAGCAATGCTCTGAGAACCTTCTGTGGCTCCCACGAAATGTTCTTCAAACGTTTCTGGCGGAGCCTGTTTTTCTGTTACACAGAACTTTTTAAGCAAAATCATCGGGCTTCTGTTCTACGAACATTGTTTCTGCTCGTGGAACACTGCTGGGCTCTAAGAACACTTCGTGGTAGGACTACAGGAATGCCGGGACGGTCGGCCCCTGCTCAACGCGAGGCGAGGCGAGGCGGGCCCGGGATCGGGAGGGCTCCCTCCAGAGCGTGCCGGTGCGCTCCCGGAGCGTGCTGGAGCACGGTCTGAGAAGGCCGCGGCGCCCCGGGCAGGCTCCAGAGAGCCACGGGCTCCAGCGGTCCGCGTGGGATCTTCGAGCATCTGGACGCCCGAGATGGGCACGGAAAGAATGGGCACGATGCCCAACAGCAGTTCCTGTTCATTCTGAACAGGATTCGCTGTCCGCGCCGCCGCGGCCTGTGTCCATTCGAGACAGAAGGCCGCCTGCTCAACAGCGGCCGCTGTCGGTTTGGGACAACATTTGTTGTTGGGCATTGTACCCATTCTTTCGGTACCCATTTTGGGCGTCCAAAGAGCACAGGAGAGCCCCTAAGCCTATTTCAGGAGGGGAACAAGCACACAGACACAATTGTATCGTCGATCCCTAAGAAAATGTGGGAAAATATGGGAATTGGGCGTGAAGACCACAACCCAGAAAATATAAGAAAATATGGGGCATCCTTTGATTTGCGCGTATGTATTTGTGTGTCCTTGGGCCCCTTGACTACTGACACGACGAAGACGTGGCCTCACTTGGGCCCCCGTCTTACATCAGGGGTGCTGATTCTGGGCGGTCTGGTTCGACACGTCTGCAGAAAAAAAAAAACTCTATCCCTGATGTTTTGGGCCCTCCTGACTCAGGTCCCCTCCCAGAAGGTTAAGGATTCTTTCATTGGTGAATCAATGTTTATTTCCCGATCCGATGTTGTCCGATCCCGGCTGCACTTTATACCGGAGGGGGGGGGGAGGTGAGAGAGCTTTGCCTGCTGATCTTCTCCGTCGTCGTCAGCGTGCCCCACGCGCTGCTGAAGCTGGTCCTGCTGGGTCCGCGGCCGAAGGGGTCCTGCCTGCTGGACTGCGGCGCCCGGGGGACAAAAGGGCGTGCTCATGCTAGGATTCAGTCGGGCCTGTCCCTCTACAGGGGGAAGGTTCAAAAATAGTCAAACCATAGTCAGGGGAGGATTTGTTTCGAGTAGTTTGAGCATTTTTCGGTTTTTTTCTGAGTTAAACATTATCCCGGCAAAGGAACCTAACAGCGATGTGTAGAAGCATATCTGGGAGCATTCCTTTTGAGATTCATGTAGGAGTCCTGTTATAGAATTCTGATGCCTTCGCAGTCGCAGTCGCATTCGCAATGGCAATCGCAATGACAACGGCAGTCGCAGGTACAGTCGCAGTGGCAATCCCAGTAGTTGCAGTAGCAATAGCTACAGTAGCAGCAGCAACAGCAGCAGCAGCAATAGCAGGAGCAGCAGTAATACCAACAGTAGTGGTAGCAGAAGTAGTAGTGATGGTAGTAGTGGTAGTAGTGAAAGTAGTAGTTGTAGTGGTTGTAGTGAAAGAGTAGGAGTAATGGGAGCAATCGTAGTAGCAGTAGAAACACTAGTAGCAGTAGAACCCCCCGACTGACTTCTGACTTCCCCCATATCAGGCGTGCACCCGCGGCCCCCCCGACTGAGTTCCCCCATATCAGGCGTGGACCCGCGGCACCCGTCAGCTGAGTTCCCCCATATCAGGCGTGGACCCGCGGCACCCCCGACTGAGTTCCCCCATATCAGGCGGGCACCCACGGCACCCCCGACTGAGTTCCCCCATATCAGGCGCGGATCCCCGGTTTTCCCTGGCATCCCCCGGATCCTGCCCAGACCCCCTTGGGGAATCAGGATGCTCTCTTGTGACCCCACTAGAAACCTATCAGTCTTCGCTGTTAGGTAAAATTCTGTTGGCCCGAAATCCCCCGTCGGGGGACAGGCCCGACCTAAGTCTAGTCTATATGTGCATGCATCTACACGGATGTGCTGGCCAGCATGGGCCCCGGACGGTGTGTTTCTTGCACTCGATGTGGTGCGATCTAGCAATAGATGTGACGCCATACACGTGGAGCAACATATGTTCTGCAGGCTATGGTGTGCGGATTATGTGATGCAGCCTACGTCGTGCCGTCCGCTATGTGAGTATACGTTGTGCCATAGATGTGGGGCGCTAGACATATGGACCTAGATATGCTGCAAACTATGGTGCAATACGTGTGGTGCAACCTATGTTATGCAATAAACACGATCGAGATGGAAAGACAGAGAGAGAGATGAAGCAACGCACGTTGTTGCGACATGCGTGAAGCACTGTATGTGGTGCAACCTGGTTCAAAACCTGTGGCCAACACATGCCTTCTAGAACCTATAGTATGCAAGCTATGGCGTGTAATATGTGTTGTGCAACCGATGTTGTGCAATCGAGGATGCGCAACCTAAGTTTTGCAATATCGGTGGTGCAATATGTATGCTCCAATGTATGCATATCAACAGATACGCCAGGCTCCCTCCCGGGGCGTCCTCCCCCTCGCTCACATCTCGTGTACGCTCCCAGTACCGCGCTTCCTGGCCTCCTGGGGAGCCCACACCCCCTTTTCTTGCAAGTTCAACAATCCCCTTTTTTTTCAAGTTCAACAAATGCGCGCCCCCTCTCCTCCCGGGGGTTCCACACCTTCCGGAACATTTGCAGAACGCTCCCAGTACTGCGATTCCCGACCTCCCGGGGAGCCCCCACAATGCCCAAAGACAGCCCAAGACGACCTCAAGAAGCCCCCAGAACATCAAAGAAAGTCCCAAGACGCTCCCAAGCAACCCAGGATAGCTTTCAGGCGGCTCGAGAGGCTCCCAGATGGCCTCCAAAAGACCTCAAGAGAGCTCCGAGAGGCCTCCCGAGAGCGCCCGGCGAACCTAAAATCGTTAATATTCATTGTTTTGTTGATGGTTTTTTGCTTCCTCACCATTTCATGCTTCCAACGCTCCAAGACGGCCGAAGAGGCCCCCAAGACCGCCCAAGAGGCCCCCAAAACGGCCCCGAGACGGCCCCAAGACGGCCACAAGAGCGGGAGCAGGAGGCCGCCAGAGGCTTCTGAGAGGACTCCGGGACCCCCCAGAGGCTTCCAACACACCCCAGACCCCTGAGAGGCTCCCAAAACATCCCCGACGAGGCCTCCAAAAATCCCAAGAGAGCTTCGAGAGCCGTCCCGAGAGAGCCCGAAGAGGGTAGGATCGTTGCTTTCCAGTGGTTTTTGTCGACGTTTTTCGCCTCACGTCTTCCCGCTTCCAACACTCCAAGACCGAGGAATTTGGGTAACAAAAGGGAATTCCAGAGATTCTCTCTTTTGTTTCAAGTTGGGACTCCTACTCCGTATCCTCTTCCTCGAGCCCCATCAAGACTTCGGGGTCACATGCAACAATGTTTCGGGAATGCTCTTGAACTCTTTGACGCTGTCTTGGCACTCTCTTGGATCGTCTTCGTGTCAGCTTGGCTGCCCCTGAAACCACCGTAGAAATCGAGATCCCATGATCCCATGAGTTGAAACAGTTAAATTCCTTTTATTTCGCACGAAGACCCGGGAGGCAACCCAACGGACCGTGGCCTGTATCCAGAAAATTCTCAACCCACAGCCCAGGTACGGCAACTTGGGATCATGGAAATCCCACAACTCCCTTTTTCCCAAGTTCGTCCCCTGTCTACTGTTGCACACCAGACCACAATGAAGGCCCCGCTCAGCTCCCAGAAAAGAGACCAGGACGCCTTTGACGGCCCCGAATCGTTGAACACCTAACGGAAATTAATGATTTCCGCGGTTCCGCAGTTCCCCTCCTATACGGTTCCGAGGCTTGCGCAGGGCCTCCGAGAGAGCCCCTGGATGCAAGAAGCGACACACATCAGATTCCATCATTTTGCCCATCAAGCCTAGCTAGAACTTGAGCGCGCGCGAAGCGTGCGCTATGGTTCTAGCATCTCTCTCTCTATATATATATGTACCAATATGGTGAAACGTGTGTACTGCTGTACACGTTACGCAATACGCGCTGTTGAATAAATGTGTGGCGCAATCCATAAATACGTGTGTATGTATTCATGGTACAAGCAAGTTGTCTATGCTGTGCAGTCCATGTTGTGCAGTCTATGTTGGTCTACGTCTGCAGCGCAATCTATGTGGTGCGATCTATGTTGTCTGCAACCTATTTGGAGCAGCTCATGTGGCGGCGACGGGGTGTCGGTGGGGCGGCGACATGGACAGCATAACCGCCAGACCGGTATATATATATATATATATATATATATATATATATATCCGTGGTGGAAAACTGTTCCAATCCCTTGTCTCGGGGGCGGAAAAGAGGGGGGTGATGACTAGGGGGGGGTGGATCTCATGGCGGGGGCCATGATATCTCCCCAGATTTCATGGCGCCTCTCCTTGTTTCGTTACGTTCCTGGCGCCTCCGCCGGGCCGCTGGTCCGCGCAGATGCCGCCGGTCATGATTTGCCCCCCCCCCTCTTGGACACCCCCCTTTTGGCCGCTCCCGAAATCCCTTGTCAGTCTGCCCAGCCCAGGTTCATATTTAATTTTGTCATTCGGGTGCAGCGCCTTGTGCGGAGACCTCTTGGAAGCTGCTTCCCAACGTCTGGATGGAAGCGCTGCAGCAGGGCTGGACCTGGACGTTCTGCTCGAATTCGGCTGTGTTTTGTTATTCGTTTTGGCAGGGAGGTACAGGATAACAGGGAGAGCAAAACGAACAATTAGCCTGACGAAGGACCCAACCATATGCAGTTGCGTTTATCGCATTGTGGGTACCAGTTTCAGTGGAGCTCCCTTTGGGGCCACGAAGCGCGGGTGGCGTTGACGCGCGAGGCCTGTGCCACTGGAGCCTTCGGTGGAGCTCCCTATGGGGCCACGAAGCGCTGTCCTGGGTTGCGTTGACGCATGCGGACCCTGCCACTGGAGCCTTCGGTGGAGCTCCCTATGTGTCCACGAAGCGCTGTCCTGGGTGGCGTTGACCCATGCGGCCTGTGCCACTGGAGCCTTCGCTGGAGGTCCCTGTGGGGCCACGAGACGCTGTCGTTAGGGCGTTGACGCATGCGGGCCCTGCCACTGGAGCCTTCGGTGGAGCTCCCTATGGGGCCACGAGACGCTGCCCTGGTGGCGTTGACGCATGCGGACCCTGAAACTGGAGCCTTCGGTGGAGCTCCGTATGTGTCCACGAAGCGCTGTCCTGGGCGGCGTTGACCACCAGAGCCTTCGGTGAAGCTCCCTATGGGGCCACGAAGCGTTGTCCTGGTTGGCGTTGACGCATGCGGGCCCTGCCGCTGGAGCCTTTGGTGGAGCCCCCTGTGGGGCTACGAAGCGCTGTCCTCGGCGGCGTTGACGCATGCGGGCCCTGCCACTGCAGCCTTCGGTGGAGCTCCCTATGGGGCTACGAAGCGCTGTCCTCGTTGGCGTTGACGCATGCGGACCCTGCCACTGGAGCCTTCGGTGGAGCCCCCTGTGGGGCCACGAAATGTTGTCCGGGGTTGCGTTGACGCATGCGGACCCTGCCACTGGAACCTTCGGCGGAGCTCCCTATGGGGCCACGAAATGCTGTCCTGGGTGGCGTTGACCCATGCGGCCTGTGCCACTGGAGCCTTCGCTGGAGGTCCCTGCGGGGCCACGAGACGCTGTACTTAGGGCGTTGACGCAAGCGGACACTGCCACTGGAGCCCTCGGTGGAGCTCCCCATGGGGCCACGAAGCGCTGTCCTGGTTGGCATTGACGCATGCGGACCCTGCCGCTTGAGACTCCGGTGGAGCTCCCTATGGGGCCACGAGACGCTGTCCTGGGTGGCGTTGACGCATGCGGACCCTGCAACTGGAGCCTTCGGTGGAGCTCCTTATGTCGCCACGATGCGCTGTCCTGGGTGGCGTTGACGCATGAGGGCCCTGCCACTGGAGCCTTCTCTGGAGGTCCCTATGGGGCCACGAAGCGCTGTCCTGGGTGGCGTTGACGCATGCGGACCCTGCCACTGGAGCCTTCGGTGGAGCTCCCTAGGGGGCCACGATTCGTT